AAGTTTTTTGATTATTCTACAAAAAAATAAAAAAATTCATTCAGAAAATTAATAATGTTGGCTTACCTTCAGCCATAATTTTACAACGCTTCATTTTGTAATTTCTTTTTCTAATTTTAGAATTCATCAAGATAGGATATGACTCCAGTGATTTCTTTTTTGAGAATATTAATGAAGTTTTTTAAAAAAGTATTAGTTAATTCGTGTCAAAGATGTTAAATGATTCTTGTTTCAAAGAAAATAATATGGAATAATTATAATTCAAATCTTTTAATGCAATTTCTTTATGTCATAATAAGTACATAATACATTATAAATAAATATAATGCAAAATGATAAAGACGTAAAGATATGGCACAGTAGGGAACATACAGACATAAGGATGTAAACTAATAAGGCATAAAAACATAAAGATATTGTCTGTTAGGTCTAGATATGTAAAGATATTATCCAATAGGGGAGAGACAAAGATGTGACACAGTACGGTGCAGAGACATTAATGGCATAAATATATGAAAAACGCGTAATATGGTGTAGAGACGAGATATGGCAGAATAATGGAATTTTATAATTTATTAGAATTTGGACACAATTTATTGAAATATTGATATAAATTTATATGGTCTAATTCTTGTATTTGGAATGATAAACTATCAGTGGCTGTAAACACCAACATTTTCTGAAAAATATTATTTAATTCGCGTTAAAAAACGTTAAATACAGTAATACCCCGAACTTACGCGATAGATGGGACCGAGCGATAACCGCGTAAGTCGAGGTATAATTTCGCAATCTGTGTAAAATCCAAGTCGGATATATGTAAGCTAATAAATGTTCTCGTTAATCTTATCTCGTCTTTTGATTCGTTCNTTTTTCTATTTGCCAAGTGTTAATTTTTATAAATCGATTATTTTACAAGTTATTTTAAATAAAATAATTTGTAAAACTTTTAAGAGATTTGAATAAAGATTTGATTTCAAAATAATTCAAGTATAAATCTATGTCGCACAAGTTTACTCTTCTAAATAAAGATCGTGAATTTGATCTACACTTATAGAAATTCTAGAATTTTGAGTAAAGATGAAAGGAATTGGAATTATTTTTGCAAATTATGAACTTTACAATACTATTACTTTCCTGGCTGTTATTTAAAACATAAGGAAAATATTGCGATCGGTCAAAAAGTGATTCTCCAAGATTTTTTGACTTAAGTAGGAAAATAATTGAAGCAACTCTCAAGATCATTGTAATTCTTCTTCCTCAAACTAAATACCTTATTGTACCATATAGTTAGGCCACAACAAGCGATTACTTTTTACTTTTAATGCGATTACTTTGAAACATAAATGTAAAAATTTGTACGCTTAACTTTATATAGTGAAATTCTTGTATTTGGGATAGAAAATCGTCTTAAGATAAGCAATATATTTAGTACTTTAACGTTATGCCCTCATCAAATTATTGAATGTTATCTTTAGAAAAGTTCAAACTTAGCAATAAAATATGAAATTTAAATGTAAGTAGATAAAATTTTATGTAAAAATTATGTACAATAAATATTATAAAGTTGTGTCATTTCTGAACATAAGAAAATTGCTTAAAGCAATAAAATAAATAACATAATGGCAAAACAGACAATTCTTATAAATTCTGAAACTATTTTTATCCCACAAAAAATATTTCTATCGATTTTTTAAAATCGATATTACAAAAAAATTTGTTTTTTCTACTTTACAATATTCAAATAAAAATTATTACTTGAATAATTATCATCTTTGACACTTTAAATAGTTTACTAATTAAGAATTAATGGAACAAATTAAATAAAAAAATTTAAATAATAATTAAAATTATATCTTATGATTGATATTTAGAGGTAATGGAGTTTTATATTTATTTAATAATGTTTTTTCTTAAAATAATTATATATTATATTTTTGCTTTTGTAAAAAAATAATTTATCATTATCAATTAATTATTTGTCATTATTCATGCAATTTACTTTTTTTAAAAGTGATTTTTAATGATGATTTTATTTACAAATTATTTATTTTTATATTTTTTCTCTATTTTTAATGAAATTGAAATGGAATAATGAACATTTACAAATTATAATTGTGTTTGATCAATGTATTCCTTAAGATTATTAATTTTGTGTCTAACGATTCAAATTTTTTCATGAACGCACCCATTTATTATTGTTATTATATCTTATTTTACATTTTGCACACTCTCCTGTATAGGAATTTCAAATTATTTTTTTTACTTTTAAAAACTGTTTCTATTATTACGTTTCATGTTATCTAAATGAAAATGGTTTTCCATTTTCTCTAATTTGTAATCAAATTTTTTCCTTATTTTAGTTATTTTTTATGAAATTTGTTTCCTACATTTAAAAAGTTTTTAAATTAAAGTTATTCTTGTTTTTTTNAGTGCAAAAATATTCGGGGGTAATTTTTGTATATATGGATGTTAGTGTATATGTGTGTGTGTGTGTGTGGGAAGCACGACTTTGTTCAGCCTCTTTAAAACTTAACTCCTGTGTTTTTGATCGAAAATTTCTGAAATTTTGCAGGGAGGTTTGTTTATTAGGAGGATTGATGCTATTAAATTTTGGTGGTTAAAAATCGACGGGTAGGAAGATAGAGGGGGGGTCACTTCTCATATCTCGAGTGGGGTCGGACTTAATGATGATTTTACTCGTTATTATCATTTAAAAATTTTGTAAAAACTCACCCCACCCTGAAAATTAAGCTTTTTGCCATTTATAATAGTTAAAAATATAAAAAGTTTTAAAAAAAGATTATGATAATAGATGGCGTCACAAAACTTTTAAATGTTGTCGGGAAACTTGAGCAACTCGTTGCTGGTTAATTTTTATTTTCGATTAGCTATTTTAACCATCATTTACAATTTGTTCACACAAAACAAACTTTACCATATTTCATTGAATTTTTACTAAATTTTCCGTTTTTAATATTTTATTTAGCGGTTACTATATATGATTTAATGGTTATACATGCAATTATATTACGTAAAAGAAAGCTGAAAATATCACTACAAAACATAATGTAAACTGTGTATATTGTATTATTACTTTTATCACAATGATACGGAATAGCTATCACTTTTAAGATTTTTATAAATTTAAATGGATTGAAGAAAAATAACAATAATGAAAAATTGCTGTTCGAAGTAAACAATACTACTAAAACTGTTGTGAAAGCACTTTGGTTTAGAGAAAGAGATAATCTTTGACCTCTTCATCCGAGTTAATTTCACCCAGATAAAGATGTCAAAGAACTTGTCCTGCAATGGCTATGCAATCAAAGATCACTTTCTTGTATCGAATTTCATAAATTGCGACGACGGCGAAAAAATGTGGAAAATGTTAAAGGAAATACTTTGGAAAGAAATAAGTATTTCAATTCTTATCTTGAATATATTAAAAAACAAAAATATTAAAATAAAGGTTTAGAAGGACTTTGATCTACCTATACAATATGGAGAATATAATAACTTCTAGTTTATAAAGTTAAACAACTGAAGATTACATGACAGTCAAAGTAAATTACTTTCAAAAGTTCCCTAATAGGATTGAAAGGCCAATATAATGAAAAAAGTTAAAGTAATTCGTAGTTTTTCATTTCTTTCCTTTCAAATAAAATACAATTTGAATGAGATCAGGTAGATTTATTATTTAATTAATTTGAAAGTGTTAAGAATTATAATAATTATTTTTATATTAGTGTCTAAAAGATGTCTATTAATAAGTCGGTTTTAGCAGAAATCAGAATGAAGCAATGATTTTCATTATTGTTTAAATTACAACGAACACTTATTATTCTGACGTTTTGTTACAAGTACTCCATTTTCTAATATTAATATTTATAAATAATAAAGAAACAAATCATCAAAAAATAACCATTGTTCATTTTAATTGAAACATACTGTACAATAAGTAACAGGAAGCGCTGTAATCGTTATGGATGTTGTAACTAATTTTATTATTATTATTACCTGATTACTTTAACGTTTTAGAAAATCAAAAATAGTATGAAATGCTTACTTTCAACAACATTAAATAATTTAAAATTTAGGGAAATTTTATTAATATAATATTAATATTTAGTATTTATTAATACTAGGTAACCAGTTAATTAAAGCTAAAATAATAAAATAATAATTAAAACTCTGGCTTTTACACGAAAACAAACTAAAAATAAAATCAAAATTAATTAATTAATTTTTTATTAAATAAAATCATATCAATTGAAACATAATATTTCGGAAAGTGTGGATAAATACTTGTCGGTCTTGATTGATTTGGTTATGTTTCATCCAGGCAGTCAGAGTTGTGTCTCTATAACACTTCTTTATACTGTTAGTTTCGGTTGGCGTGACGGAACATTTTGTTTTTATTTTTAATATATATATTAAAATTATTAAAATATATATTATATATAATATATATGTTACTGTAAATGCTCGAACTATGGTAAATCCTAAGATATTCCAGTAAAACCTAAGATTTACCAAATCTTTGTGGTAAAAGCCCGAAATGTTCTGCGATCATCGTTAATTTCGAACTTTTACCAGCATTTACTCGGTATATCTTATGTTTTACCTCAAAGACATGGTAAATGTTGAAAAAATAGTCCCCGCTACCAGCACCGCATCGCGCCGCCGCCTTCGTTTGCCATATTTCATCGTTTGACATGTTAGAACGCGCATGTTAATTCTAATCCTGTTTGAAATTTCGCTGTCTAAAAGTTATTTATGAATCAAGATGATTGTGAAACGGAGATTTTATGAAATAATGGACGAGCTGGTGTCAAGCAAGAAAGATAACTTTTATCTCAATAGGGACAAATACGCAAAGTATTTGGAGGAAGTAAAAGCTGCAAAGAAAATAGAAAAAGAAAATAGCTGTTCATTACAGGCATATAAAGCGTTACGACATTTTGACTACAGGCGACGAAGAAAAACTAATTGCGCCTATGAAGGAGGAAAATGGAGAAATGAGGTATTACATTTGTTACGAGGACTTATTTAACATTCTCGAAGAAACGCATGTTGCTGTTGGCGACGGTGGAAGGACACGGATGCTTAAGGAATGTAACCGCAAGTATAAAAATGTAATAGTTGAGGCTATTATGACATATTTGAAGCTATGTCAACCTTGCCAAAAGAAACAGAAGACTTTGAAAAAGGGCATTGTCGTCAGACCTATACTTCACAGTGAAATGAACTCACGCTGTCAGGTTGATCTAATAGATCTACAAACTATTCCAGATGGAAATTATAAATTCATTTTATTTTACCAAGATCATCTTACCAAATTTGTGATCCTTCGTGCGCTTCAAACTAAATGCGCCGTAGAAGTTGCATACCATCTTTTGGATATTTTCACCACTTTTGGAGCGCCGAGCATCCTTCATTCCGATAATGATCGCGAATTCTCTAACCAAGTTATTGAGAGCTTATGCTCCATGTGCTGGATGTAAAAATCGTACATGGAAAGGCAAGAAATAGCAAAAAACCAAGGATCAGTGAAGCGTGCTAATCAAGACAGAAAATATGTTGAGCACTTGGATGGAAACCAATCAGTTATCAAAGTGGTCAGAGGGTTTAAGATTCATCCAGGCGATGAAAAATAGAGCATATCACGAGGAAATAAAATGTTCCCCCTACGAAGCAATGTTTGGCTGTCTAATGAAAATGGGCCTTCCAACTTCAGCAATCTTTAGTGATATGATTAGTTATAAGATCTGAAAATTTAGAGTTGTTGCATTCGCACGACAAAACAAAACAAAATAATGACGTCGAAAATGCAATCGAACAGGACAAGGAAGAAAGCATTGTTGAAAATGAGTCAGAAGGGAATATAGACAATAGTACTGTCAACGATGACACAAGAAGATGAAATGATTATTACTGAGAAGATGAAGGCGAAACAAATAACCGATGATTCCAATATAACGATTCAGAGACAGAAAACACGATTGAATCTCAGGAAGTTCTTGTAACTATAGAGCCAATGCCAAAAAAGACTATAAGAAACAACGTAAAATTGAGTTTGGAGAAACAAGCTGAAAAAAATTAAAGCCACGTCTGTTGATAAATATTCAAATGTGAAAAGTGGCCAAAATGTAAGACTGAAACTGCCTGAAAGTGACAAAGCTAAAATCGACCCGAAAAGCATTATTGCAGTTGTAGTAGATGTAAAGAACAACGAGTTTTACCAACTAGGTACCAAAATTAGAGTAGCCTACTAAAGCAGCTCTATACACAAAATAAATTTACCTCATGCCCTGAATACTTTATCAAGATGGAAGAAGTCGTTAAAGATAAGGAAGTGAGTCTTCGAGAAGTTTTTCGCAAAATTGTCTTTGACCGGAGAACAATGTTTCAAGAAATGCAACTGCCTAAAAAAATGCGTAACGAAGAAATACGCTCGCAAGTCATCAGGATTACTTTGAAATTCTAAATGCTATGATAGCTCTCCATGTTGTAACAAGTAAAATCCTTTTTTTACTTTTATTAAATGACAATACCAAATGATTAGAAAAAATACCGTGATTACTGATTAGCTTAGCCAACGTAGGCTATTATATTATTTTTGACAAAATAATCTAATTTTTGTTATGTTAAAAAAGTATTTTCAAACTAGTTATTAATAAATATGATTCAGTAAGTTGACTGTTTATAATAATTACAATAAATGATTATTAAAATACTTATAGTTTTATTACCAAAACTAATATTTACTAACCGTCTTTAGTAAAACCTAGCATGTACAGTACCAGATTCTAATGGTAAAAGTCCGGTAAATCATCTCACTTTATAAAAATCCTTACATTTACCAATTCATGTTGGTAAATCCGAAGATTTACAAGTACAACCCAGGATTTATCAATATACAGGCTTTTACAGTACATATATAATATATATATATAATAGATTAAGATATAGATATAGATAAAGGTAATAAAATATATAATGTTATATTGCATGTGTAGGCATTTTTATGAATGAAATACAGATAAAAAGATTTTTAAAAAATAAAGCTTTGTTTCGGGGGTCGGAAACTAATTAATCCATTTTATATTGTTTCTTATGAAAAAATTTGTTTCAGTTTTCGAACAACTTTTAAGAACGAATTAAGTTCGAAATCGGAGATTTGACTGTATAGTATAAAATCGTCGCTAACGATTATCTATATAAAAAACTTTATAAATAAAGTTAAACATGAATTTTCTTAAAATTAAACTTTTCTAACACGACCAGTTAATCAACAAATGTTAATTTATTAGTTTGAAATTCCTTGTAAGACACTAAGAGTTAAAATGCAGTTAAGCAGGGAACCAACCAATTAAACATTACTCTTACATATTCTTAAAACGTGATTTTTCCAATCTATTGTAAATAAGAGATTTAAGTAACAGTGCAAATAAACAGATGGTCGCTCTCATTGTTCTTGAAATATGATTTTTCCAATCCTCTGCAAATGACCGAAATCTCTATGGACAACCTTAGAAAAGCTTTACTTTACCAACTATTAATTGCAAATGATGCAAAATTTTATTTTGTTAAAAACGTCATTGAATTCTTCTTATTGTAAATGCACAGCATGAATTTTTATGTTAATTTTCATGTTAATTATAATCTTTATTATAATTTTATAATTAAAATTATAAATTAATTTTTCTAACAAATTAATTACTAAATTTTTAGTACAGTATATTGTATTGACTAAAATCTTACCGAATAATCAATCATTTACTATTAATAATTTTGAATATTCGAGACAAAAATTGATTAATTGTCATATAAGCATTTAAAGTTATGTTTTATTCATACGGTATTGTCAATTGCCAACTTAAACAGTCGAATCTATAAATATCTGATTGATTTAGATATTTAATTTGGCAGCAGACACAATACTAACATTTTAATAGATTAGTAATTTAATAATATACTGGAGGTTGATGATTACTACATTGAAATATTATATATTGACGACTGATGTAAATTTAATTCATGTCTTAACTGTTTGCATTTGCAAGTAGGAATAATTTATAGAAATACTTCTCGATATCTTATTTTCGTAAAAATTAAAACTTTTTCCAATCGATTTTCAAAATAAAGCTAGATATGGCCCACTTTATCGACATTATGGCCATAATATGGCTCTTGTGAAATTAAGTTGTATTTGGATTTAAATGGTTTGACCAACTTCGTTCAGGTTTTCTTAAGTATGTGTTTAAAATTCCTGGAATTAATGAGAAATATCAACCCTTATCTTATTTAAAACACAGACATTTTAATTTAATAACGAATTTTTAACGATATTTAACTCTAATAAATATAATTTATATAAAAATGTTAAACAGATTAAAAGAAATTATAGTAAAATTTTTCGTATAAATTTATAAATAGGCATCTTTTTTTTTGCCTTAACTTTTCCCATATCCTACATGAAATTGCTATTTCTTATCAACCTTCTCCACTCCTTTCTTTCGTTCATTTCTTCTCCTGTCAAACACTTTTCTTCAGATCAGCCTCTATCTATACTGTCCTTCCATCTCCTCCTTGACCTACCCTTATTCCTTATTTCCTTAAATTTTGTCTCTAACGTCCTCCTACTCACATAATTATTTTACAAACAGGAATAAAAATGAAAAATGCCATTAAAATAATATATATTTTCAGTATCCTACCTTATAATTTATCTTCCGAATAATATTATTGGGTTTTGTTCCAGGCAGACCCATCAAAAATTCTTTTCTGTCCAGGAAACATGAACTTCTCTAACATTTTTCTTTGACTTTTTAAATTAATGAAGTCTTCATTCACATCTAAAGAATCCGTAGATATATAAAAGTTACTAATGAATATATTTGTATTTCACTCGTGTTATTGTGGAAGAAGAAATAGAAGATAAACGGAGAATGTCATATTAATAAATATACCATTGTCGAAGAACGATAAAGAAGAAAAACGACAGCAAAAGAGTTTCTTGCAGTAAAATTGATCATCCACCATATATGTAAGCAGTGATATATTCGAGAGATGTGGAATATTTATAGGATTAGTAGTTTGATGAATGTTTTAAGTTAAAGTGACAATAGCTTTTATTACATTCGTAATAATATTAATTTATTATTTGTCATGTTATCTGCACTCCTTCCATTCATACGAATGCTTCACTTCAGCTTTTGTTTACTATTGACCTAAATTGAATTTTCAAATGAGAACTTACTTTTCGGAAAAATGAAAGAAAAACTATAAATTACAGAAAAATAGAACTGTTGTATATCTATGGATTATATCTGTTATTTTCTTATTTGTTTTATATATGTTCTAAACTTTGCGAGGAAATAGTAAGAAAATTTAATTTGTAATTTGAGGCATCACATCACGAAGGGCTGTTTAATCTGCTTCAATTTTGCTTATTGCTGAATTTAATCTACAATAAAGTCAATCATCTCGAAGTGAGGAATAGAGAACGAATCTCCGATCCTATATGCCAAAGGGCTCACTCAATTACATAGAGCGTGTTTACTAGCTACTAGCGTGCAAATTCGCAAGAGAGTGAACGCGTTTACACACACACACAGCTAGCACCAATTACACTGGGATAGTAATTTCGCTCGCGATTCGTTTATTACCCGCTAGTGGCAAGACGCGTAGACTGTAGTGAATGATTTCGCTACGAGTAGCAAATTTTAGTCAGTTTAATCGGCGTAATGCCGAGAATGCAAAATTAATCCAAAAGTAGTGAAATTCTTAGCAAAAGTAGTTATTTTATACACATTTCGAATTTTAGCCCAGACTATAGCAACAAGAGAAAAAGGAAATTTTTCGTAACGACTTTAATTTTTTTTTGCTGGCAACATTGATTCTCTTTCTATGTTAGATGCTCACTTGTTGAAAACGTAAAATGTGAAGAAAGTAGAACTGTAACGATATTATCAATTTTTTAGTCTTATACGAATAATATTTCTTGTTCAGAAAGTAAACTTGAGAGCGAATAGCGACAAAAGTAGTCTGGTCTTCAACTTTACTCGCTCGGATAAATCATCAAGCGAGTTTACTAGCCTAAGTAATTACATTGAGCGAGTTTAATAGCAGCGAATAAATTTGTCGGAGAAGTGGCTAATAAACGCGAAGTCCGAACCAATTTAAAACCGGATCCCTCATTGCGGTACAACAATATCTTCAAATTAAATCAAAATACATTTATATAAAATATTTTTAAATAACCGAAGTTTTTGTTGTAAATTTATGCAATAATTTTCAAAGATTTTTGAATATTTTATTGTAATTTAAAATTTATAACTGTGAAAGATTTATACAGTGAAAAATGAAAAAAAAAGTTGTTCATACATACTGTATTTATATTTCATTGTGAAAATTTCGATAAAAACATAAAATGCTGTATAATTTACAGATTATAAAAGTGGATCATGAGCTATGAAATACTATGAAGTAAATTAAAATG